TACCCCTAAGCCGAACGACCTACACCCTAAACCCTAAACCCTAAACCCTAAACTCCAAGCCCCAAAGGCTAGGAAGTCTAAGCTTTCGGCGCACTTGCCGGGCAGTGGCCCTGGGCTGCGCGCATTTGCGGTTTAGGGTTTAGGGTTTAGGGTTTAGGGTTTAGGGTTGAGGGTTTAGGGCTTAGGGTTTAGGGTTTCGGGTTTAGGGTTTAGGGTTTCGGGTTTAAGGTTTAGGGTTTAGGGTTTGGGGTTTCAGGGGGGCTTGCAGAGGCTTTTGGGGCTTTTGGGTTTAAGGGTCAGCGCTGAGAGCTGGAGGGCATAGGGGCTGAGGGGCTTCAGGGTTTCGGGCTGGGGGTGCAAGGTTGGAGGTTTGAGGGTAACCCTAAACCCTAAACCGTTTAGCTTTGTGGAGCGACGAGAATGACCAGGTTTTCCTGCGCTTGCGCAGGGCTTGGGATGGAGGTTCAGGGTTTAAGGTTCAGGGTTTCAGGGCTCAGGGTTTAGAACTTAGGGTTTAGGGTTTAGGGTCTAGGGTTTAGGGTTTAGGGTTTAGGGGTTTAGGGTTTAGGGTTAGGGATTGGGATGTTCCCCCCTCTACGAACTGGTTACACCTTCGAGGTACCACAAATCTACCCAAACACCTAGACCCCAGTCCCGATTTTGCATAGACCCTACGAATTCTTAAACCCTAAAAAACCCTAACTCTCAAATCTTCAACCCTAATTCGAAACTTCAAGATTTACATCGTAAAAGGGATTAGGGTTTGGGGCTTAGGGTTTAGGGCTTGGGGTTTAGGGTTTAGGGTTGAGGGTTTAGGGTTTGGGGGTTAGGGGTTTCTTTATTTCTTTATGTTGAGGTTGAACATGGAGGTGTAACAACAAAAAGTGTTTGGTTCGGCTGTCAAGTGCGATTGTTTGGCAATCTTGCTTCTCTGGTTGCGCTTTTTCGACGTGCTCTACCAACCTTCTTGATTCGTTAGTTCGGAAATTAGGGAATAAGGGTCCCTACCTAATCCCCATTAGAGTGGTTGTTGCGTCCTCATTCCATAGCAAGAAACTACAGTAGCAAGTTACTGCCGTCGCATCTTCTATCATACTATGGAACGTTACGTTGCACGAAAAGAATACACCAAGGTACATCACGCAGACATCCTTCACCCTGTACGCGCCTCTCTTCTGTTCTGGGTCTTTGCCGCCGAAGTATGCGGAGACCTGTCAACCGAGCGGGTGCAGGACGCACTTGGGGTTTCCCCCCTGAACCCACCAAAGATTCTAGGGCTAGGTTAAAGGCCCTAAACCCTGAACCCTAAACCCGAAACCCTAAACCTTAGACCCGAAACCCTAAACCCTAAACCCCCCCACCCGACTTCGGCGTGCCTCGTCCTGCACGAAGAAGCCGAGCTCCCCATCGAGAGCTCCGAATAACGAGAAGATGCCTTTCCAGATTTAGGGTTTAAGGCGGGGGGGGGGGGGGGGTAGGGTTTAGGGTTTAGGGTTTAGGGTTTAGGGGTTTAGGGGTTTAGGGGTTTAGGGGTTTAGAGGTTTAGGGGGTTTTTTGGGGGTTTAGGGGTTTAGGGTTTAGGGTTCAGCAGGGGTTAGGGGTTCGAGGGTTCAGGGTTCAGGGTTTAAGCTTTATTGGGGCTGGGGGTTCAGGGTTTAGGGGGTTTAGAGGGCTTCACAGCAGTTTCTTCGGACGCAGCTGAACACCCCAAATTTTGCTCATTGCCGGTTCAAGAACACGTTCTCTAACTTCTGGGTCCATTTTGGGGTTCCTATTGTTTGATACTTCGGGCGCCCTCAAAAGGGATCAGGATTTACTCTGATTTGGGATTTTTAACCCTACACCCTAAACCCTGGTTGAGGGGTCCAGGCATGTTCGTAATGCGTCCGGGCTGATTTGAGCCTAAACCCTAAACCCTATACATCCCTATACCCTAAACCCTAAACCCTAAACCCTTTGAACCCCTTAAGGTCTACACCCCTGTACCCTCTAAACCCCTTCGCCTGGCTTTAGTACCTCCTAAGCCTGCTAGAACCCGAATGAAAACTAAACCCTATAAGCACCCTAAACCCTAAACCCTAAACCCTGAACCCTGAACCCTGAACCCTGACCCCTAAACCCTACTGCACTAACTAAGACAAAAGATCCGAATGACTCTAACAACCTGAGAGTACCCAGCCTGCATCCGGCGCGTCCTGAGCGTTCCCCTTGCTTAAACCCTAGGGTTTAGGGTTTAGGGTTTAGGGTTTAGGGTTTAGGGTTGAGGGTTTAGGGTTTAGGGTTAGGGTTTAGGGCTTAGGGTTTAGGGTTTACGGTTTAGGGTTGAGGGCTCGATTCGAATAGGGGGTACGAAAATCCCTCTTCAGGACTGCCAGTCTTTCAACCTACATCCTCGCAAGAGTTGAGGTTGGGGGTTCTAGGTTTCCGGGCTTGGGGTGCTGAAAAGGAAGAAGCCACTCATGCGGATATAAACCCTAAACCCTAAACCCTAAACCCTAAACCCTAAACCCTAAACCCTAAACCCTAAACCCTCGGTATGATATCTGTGAACCGCCATGTCAGCCTCCTACACGTCCAAACAATCCCTTGGACCCTCAACCATACCCTGAACCCTCGAAAACAGCCCCTGCCACCTCGATTTTGCGCACTTTTCCAGGCTCCCAGAGAGAAAAAAAGACAAGGACGTTCAAAAATCGCATGCATAAAACACAGAAAGGACTGGGCTAGTATGCCTTTGCTACCTTAGATGGCGAGGGTAGGAGGTGGTGTTCGGCCTCCATAGCTCCTCGGTCTCCCTAAGCCCTGAACCCCTAAACCCTAAGCCCTCAACCCTAAACCCTAAACCCCTAAACCCTAAACCCTAAGCCCTAGATCCTAAACCCTGAGCTCCAAGACCCTAAACCCTAAACCCTGAACTCCAAAACCCTAAACCCTAAACCCTAAACTCTCCAACACCTGCAGCGCTCCTCGGCGCTCTGACGCAGCAATCTGCACCTGGCAGCTGCGGTTTAACAGGGGGGTTCAGGGTTTAGAGGGGGTAGGGTTGAGGGTTAAGGGCTTTGGGGTTTTTGGGTTTAGGGGTTTAGGGTTTAGGGTTTAGGGTTTCGGGGTTAGGGTTTAGGGTTTAGGGTTTAGGGTTTGGGGTTTGGGGTTTTGGGTTTTTGGGTTTAGGGTTCAGGGTTCAGGGTTGGGGGTTTAGAGTGGGTAGGGTTTAGGGTTTCAGGCTTAGGGTGTTCAGGGTCTAGGGTGGGCTTGGGGGGTGTTCTTAGGGGGTGCGGGGTTTAGGAGTTGCAGCTGGTCCAAAAGTTCGAGATAGGTCACGGAGCAAGTGCCGTGACAACCAAAAGGCCAGCAGTCTACGAACCCTGAGACCCTAAACCCTGAACCCAACTGTTGGGCGGGTTACGACAACGAGGGACCCCGAATAGATAGGATTCCTACAGGGACACACTTTGGGGGTGTAGGGTTTAGGGTTTGGGGTTTAGGGTTTAGGGTTTAGTGTCTGGGGTTGAGGGCTTAAAGTCTTCGGCTTGCCGCACAGCTTCCAAGCTGACCCCTAGGAGGACAGATTGAAGTGTGAGGTCTGGGGATTTGGGTTTGCAGGTTAACAGTTTGGGGGCTTGGGGTTTAGGGTTAGGGTTTGGGGTTTAGGGCTTAGGGCTTAGGGTTTGGGGTGTAGGGTTTGGGGTTTAGGGTGCAAACCCTATGAGGAAGCAAACCTCAAGCCCCTAAATCCCTTTTAAACTCACCAAGCCGCATAAAAACCTGAAGAACCCAACGAGCTACATCACACCCATACCCTACAGTCACCGAACTACAATACATTTCTTGAAGCCCTAAACCCTAAACGCTAAAACCCTAAACCCTAAAACCCCAAAACCCAAAACCATAAACCCTAAAACCCTAAACCCTAAACCCTAAACCCTAAACCCCAAAACCCCAAAACCCCAAAACCCAAAACCATAAACCCTAAAACCATGTGCTGGGGCCCCCAGCTGCCCATCCAGGCTGGAGCACTGGTTGCCGATGTCTTCGACAGCAGCCTGTTCCACGACAGGGTTTAGGGTTTAGGGTTTGGGGTTTAGGGTTTGGGGTTTGGGGTTCAGGGTTTAGGGTTTAGGGTTTCGAGCATTTGAGGACACGAAGGGTCGGTGATCAGCATGAATCTGAGGGTCGCTGTAAGGCAACTGGGGAAGGATTTCCACGCCCAGGGAGCTGGAAACTGATTTTTTTCAGCTAACAACCGATCAGAAGAAGGCATATGGGGAAGGATTACCACGCCCAGGCAGCTGGAAAAAGATTTTCTTCACTTAGCAGCAGGCCAGGAGAAGGCATAAGAATTCTCGGGTCGGTGTTGCCATGGGCTTAGGTAACAGCCCTCACGCCAAAACTAGTTCTGCAGCTCCATCAGATTCAGAATCATCATCACATTCATCATAATCATCATGAATCATCATCACCATCAGCGTCACTAACACAAAAAAAGCATCATGCATCATCCTAGTATCAGTATCATTGTTCTTACTATACCTATGACTGTCATGATTGTTCTCATGACTTGTGCGATCACTTTCATTATCATTATCTAAAGCCTTAAACCCTAAAACCTAAACCCTAAACCCTAAACCCTAAACCCTAAGGCCCGCCTAGGCCCTACGCCCAAGCAACTGCTTGAACATCTCGAACTCGGGGCGTAAGGCTCCGAATCACACCATGGCTCCTATGTTGCAGCAAGAATTGCTATCTGATGAGGAGAGCAAGAAAAGAAGAGCACAATTGGCCATCATATTACAGTATCTAATGGCTTTGAAGCCCTAAGCCCTAAGCCCTCAGCCCTAAACCCTGACCCTACCCTCAACCCGAAACCCTAAACCCTCAACCCTAAACCATAAACCCTACAATGGGTCCTTTCAGCGAAATTTGCGGCCTCTGGAATGTAGATCTCCTCCTGAAAGCGACGCACGCCTGAGTTGAGGCTTCCGGTTCAGGGTTCAGGGTTCATGCAGGGTTCAGCGTTCAGGGTTCAGGGTTCAGGTTTCAGGGTTCAGGGTTCAGGGTTTAGGGTTTAGGGCTAAACTCGGCCCAAAAGTGGGAACCTCAGGAAACGTGTTGGGTTTTAGCGTTTAGGGTCTAAAGTTGAGGGTTTAGGGTTTAGGGTTTAGGGTTTAGGGTTGTTGAGGGTTGAGGGTTGAGGGTTGAGGGTTGAGGGTTGAGGGTTGAGGGTTGAGGGTTGAGGGTTGAGGGTTGAGGGTTGAGGGTTGAGGGTTGCGGGTTGAGGGTTGAGGGTTGAGGGTTGAGGGTTGAGGGTTGAGGGTTGAGGGTTGAGGGTTGAGGGTTGAGGGTTGAGGGTTGAGGGCTTTGGAGTTTAGTCTCTTGGGTTTAGGGCCCCTCGAGCCCAGGGTTTGGGGGCTGAACTTGGCACCCTAGCAAAGACTATACTTTTCGCTGTTCCTTAGGGATTATAGTCTTAGTAACCAAAAGCTAAAAGTTATTTCCAAGTACGCCTAAGTGTTGGGGGTGTCTGAGGTTTGCCCTCTCCATGCCTCAGGGACCCAAGAAGTGTACAAGATGGCTAGGATTTAGGGTTTAGGGTTTAGGGTTTAGGGTTTAGGGTTTAGGGTTTAGGGTTTAGGGTTTAGGGTTTAGGGGTATTTAGGCTTCAGGACTTGGCGTTGAGGCCCTCAGGTATTCAGCTCTAGGGCCTGCAAGGTTTTCGACCCCCAGATGCGCGACCAACTTCCTTGACCCCCAGGGAAGCTCGAGGATGAGCATGAACCCGGAAAAGACCTAAAGGTCCTGGGTTTTATGAGGGGGGAGAAGATGGCAAGAGGAAACACTCAACAGCCCCAACTCCGAAGCCCCTAACCCCTAGCCCTAAACCCTAAACCCTAAACCCTAAACCCTAAACCCTAGCCCCTAAGCCCCAAAACCCAAAAGGAAAAAACTTGCGCTCGCCTTCGAAGCTTGGGTCTCCTGGAAAGGGCGTTAACGCGGCCTCGGGTCCATCTCGAGAGGCTTCCCATTGTTGGGTTTTAGGGTTTAGGGTTTAGGGTTTAGGGTTTAGGGATGTTTAGGGTTTAGGGCTTAGAGGGGTTTAGGGTTTAGGGTTTAGGGCTTACGGACTTTCAGGGTTTAGGGTTTAGGGTTTCGGGTTTAGGGTTTAGGGCTTAGGGCTTAGGGCTTGGGGTGCTTTTTGTCGGGCTCAGGGCTTGTAGGATTCCAGGTTTTAGGGTTTAGGGTTTAGGGTTTTTTTTTAGGATTCCAGGGAGCGTCTATAGGGCTTATGGGATTCCAGGGTTTGGGGTTGGGGGTTTGAGGGTTTAGGGCTCTAGGGTGTAGGGTTATAGGTGTTGATAGGGTTTATCGGGCCTCAGGGGTCTATCGGGATTAAAGGGTTTAGGGTCGAGTTTAAAGGGTTTGTTAAGGGTTTAGGGTTTAGGGTTTAGGGTTTAGGGTTTAAGGTTGATGAGGTTTATAGGGTTTAGGCTTTTGGCTTTCGAGTTTCTATTCATCTCCAAGCGAAAATGACAAGGGTCACTGTGCAGCTGAACTTGGGGTAGCTTTTGGGATGTTCCCCCTTATACTAACAGTCATTAATACGGATTACAATAGGGGGTACTATAATCTCTATCAAGGACTGCTAGTATAAGGGGGCCTTTCAAAGTCTTCTTTCGCGTGCGTTCCGTGGGACATTGTCTGGTAAATGCGGAAGCTCCATATGCCCGTGCCGACCGGAGCACCGCTGTCAGAATCCAATTCTACATCCCGGTAGAAATTGCGGTAGAGGGCCTAGCTGTTGGGTTTCGGATTCTTTTGGGAAGGCCCCCAAAACCCTAAACCCTAAAACAATCTGTTTGGCATGGTCATGAGGCCATTGTGGGGCCTCTGCTACTAGCGTTTGTTGGGGCCTGTGTGGCAATCTTGGAGCCTGTCACTTAAGTTTTTGTGTTGCACGTTTTAGAGCTTTCTGCATGTTCTTGTTGGTAGACTGGGCTTGATTTTCTTGGTTTAAGCTCCTAAACCCTAAAACCCTAAACCCTAAAACCCGAAACCTCGAAACCCGAAAACCCTAGACCCTAAACCCGAAAACCCTAGAACCCTAAACCCTAAAACCCTAAACCCTAAAACCTGAAATCCCGAAACCCTAAAACCCCTAAACCCTAAACCCTAAACCCTAAAACCCTAAACCCTAAAACCCCAAAACCCTAAACCGAAAACCCTAAACCCCTAAACCCTAAACCCTCAACCCTAAACCCTAAACCCTAAACCCTAAACCCTCGGAAGCCCTGGCATGGCTCGATTGCGTAACCCGCACCTGCACCAGCGTGAGCGATGCAACGCGCCACCTGAGAAACAGGTCATTGGAAAAGTATGGGTTTGGGGTTTAGGGTTTAGGGCTTAGGGGTTAGGTTTAGGGTTTAGGGTTTAGGGTTTAGGGTTTAGGGTTTAGGGTTTAGGGTGTAGGGTTTAGGGTTTAGGGTTTAGGGTTTAGGGTTTCGGGTGAGGGTTTGGGGTGATAGGGTATTCAGGATTAGGGATGAGGGTGTCAGGGTAGTGGAGAATTAGGGTATTAGGGTATTCGGGTTTAGGGTGTTATATTCAAGCAAGTCCAAAACTACACGTGTTTGACGTCTATGACCGCAATGATTATGCAAAATGTTCCGTGATTGCTATGACTGCCAGGCTCGTTGTGATGGCTGGTCAACTTGCTCTTCGTATCATCTTCCTCTTCATACTCTCTGCTTACTTCTCTTACTCTTCTTACTCTTCTTACCCTTCTTACTCCTCTTACTCCTCTTGCTCTTCTTACTTGCTCTTCTTACTCTTGCTACTCTGCGAAGGTATTGCGATCCTCATCTTCCTATTTTTACTCTTCTTCCTCTTCTTACTCTTCTTACTCTTCATGCTCTTCTTACTCTTCTCTCTTACTGCTTTTACTCTTACTCCACATACTCTTCTTGCTCTTGTTACTCTTCTTTCTCTTCCTCTTTTCTTACTCTTCTTTCTCTTCTTTCTATTCTTACTCTTGTAACTCTTCTTACTCTAAATACGCTTCTTGCTTTTCTTATTCTTACTCTTCTTACTATCCAGACTATTCGAAATTTTACTCGCATGAACATCCTCTTCGTCATACACTGGCTTCGAATACTACAATAGTTGCAACTATCACCGTTCTCAAGACGCGTACAGGTATTCCGATAATTATGTCTACGACTGTTGCTGCTACTCTTGTCACAAATGCCATTATTCGCTTCTGTTTCTTCTAACATCGGCTACGTCTACCTTCAGGCATTTTAAAATACTGACAAGGCACCTGAGGCACATGGCCAAGAACGGCGCAAGCTGCCACCAACATGGCCGAATGCTCATTTGGATACTTGAGCCCCAGATAAAGCAACAAGAAGACCTCACAAGGGACTTGAGATGTTCCCCCTTATACCAACAGTCCTTCATAGGCATTATAGTACTCCCTGGTATAATCACAATAATCAGGACTGTTTGTAAGGGGGAACATCCCAACAAGGGACGATGGACTTCGCCGGACACGAGCCAAACAGCATAAACAAAGTGACAGTGCCTGCCAGGGGCCGTGCTTAGATACCTTTCATTGTCGTGTTGAGCACGGTTGCGTGGTCAAAACCCCAAGAAGAACCTGCAAGACGAGCAACTTTGTCAGCACTCCAAAACACTAGTAAGCTTGGCAACTTGTCGCAAAGATGCTTTCTTCGCTCGACCCCAGATACGAATGATGTCGGTGTTTGTTCTTTGGGATGAAGCCTGCTCCACCCCCCCCGCCCCCCGCCCAACTGCAAACCCAGCATCCCTGTTTCGGGTTTAGGGTTTAGGCGTTAGGGGTTTAGGGTTTAGGGTTTAGGGTTTGGGGTTTGGGTTTAGGGTTGAGGGTTTAGGGTTTAGGGTTTGGGTTTTGGGTTCAGGGTTTAGGGTTCAGGGTTCAGGGATTAGGGGTTAGGGTTTAGGGTTTAGGGTTTAGGGTTTAGGGTTCAGGGTTCAGGGTTTAGGGTTCAGGGTTCAGGGATTAGGGTTTAGGGTTCAGGGTTTAGGGTTCAGGGTTCAGGGTTTAGGGTTCATGTTTAGCAGCTTGCCCTGGCCGAGAGCCACCCAAGCGACGAGCACCGCAGCCTCAAGATGCCGATGGGAGCTTTGCCCAATAGAGGCGCCTTAAGAATTAGAATAGGGTTGGGGGTTCGGGGTTAGGGTTTAGGGTTTGGGGTTTAGGGTTTGGGGTCCAGGGTTTGGGGTTTAGGGTTTGGGGTCCAGGGTTTGGGGTTTAGGGTTTGGGTTTTGTTGGGTTTTTTTATCGTACACCGTGCTTGTGAGATGGGGTCTGCGAAGGTACGAGGCCTCAAGGTATAAGCCCCCATAGTGGCCCACGTGAGCGGCTCTATAAAGACTACTACGACGACTGCTACCACTACGCCACTGCCAGATGAAACTATTTTTACTCTCCGCCCACTCCCTCGACCGTTGCCCCAAACTCCGAAAGCCAGCACCCTGCCCCCTCTGTAGGGCTCCTCGGCCCAACAATGCCTTGGACCCCCGAAATCACTAAAGCCTAAATTCCCGACATTGCTCGAGAGCATACAATATAACTTAGCAGTAGTCGAACTCAACAAGTGAGGCAGCAACGGCAGCTCTTTGGACACCTTGCACATACCCAGCCCACGAGCAACTGCCGAGTGTGACTTTGACACCGTTCAGGCCAAGCTGGGGGGGACCTCACCGCCCAGATCGCTGTTGATCTCCACGTACAGCCAGTGCGTGTACGTGTGCATCTGAGTCCGATCCTTCGCACGGGTCGCCGCCAGTCCCAGGGACTTGAAAAGCGCCGGATCCGACACGATCGGCGCCGTTGTGTGATCCGGATCCCACGTCGCCCCGGAGAGCTCCCGCGAGGCCAGCGGGGGAAACTCGTAGTAAGTTCGGAAAAGCTTGGGCAGAAAGTTGGCATGTTTCAGGTGGTACTCCCAGGTCACGCTGTACTTGGCTTTGGAAAAGTTGTCGACGACCGTGCCCCGCCACAAAGACTGTCTCTCGATCTCGCAGACTTTCTTCAGGGAGTAGTTGTCCCCTTTGTTGTAGGGGTAATTGTCGTCGAAGATGAAGCGCGTGAAGCCCTGCGACATCAGCTCCAGAATGCGTCTGTAGCCGCTCTGATGGTCATCAATGAACATGATGGTCTCCGCGGGGTCAACACCCTCGGATTTCCAATCGATCTTGGCAACGTCTCTGAAGCTGCCTTTCAGCTTGTACTCCACCCCATCCAGCCTCCTGTATGGTTCAACCTCCGGATCGAGTGAGATGATGCGAGCATCAGGCAGCGCCTGCTTGATGATCCACGTTCCGTGGCCACGGAAGGCACCGCTTTCGATCACCACTTTGGGGCGGAGCTTGCGCAGCGTGAAGAACATGGCAAAGGAGTGGTCAACCTGCATGCCACCCAGGTTGTTCTGAATGGGACGCTTGTCATACAGCTCCAAGAAACAGGGGAGGGCAGCGCGCATCTCCGAATAGCAGGCCCATTCCGGGCGCCGCAGCTCACCTAAACTGATGGCAGATCACGCGCAGTCACGCACATTCAACGCATGCGCCCCTCGTGTTTGGTGTGCTGAGTTCCGTTTGTGAGATCCAAGATATGCAAAGAAAACCGGGGAAACCTTGGACCCCCGTGCCCGAAACCCGAACCCTACACCCTGAGCCCAGTCAACGAAAGATCCCAACAGACCCAACAGAATACTTGGAGGTTCATGGGTACTTATAACCCCAGCTACAAGTCCACTTATAGCCTACTTAGAGGATTTAGGGGGCTTATATAAGTGCAGCTATACATTGGTACCCTGAACCTCCAAGTGGGAGTTTCCGACGTTTGGTCCTTTTTTGAAAGGGAACCCTACTATTTCAGGGACTCTATGAGGGTCCCTTGTCTTCGTAAACCCCCAAGTAGGGCTGCGAAGACGTCGCCTCGGAGAGCTTGGCAGTCGCCCCCGTCGGGGGCCGAATGCGGCTGAGAGCAGGTCTGGCCAGAGGCGACCACGCCGGAGCAGGCCTCCGAGGGCTCAGGAGCAGGCGCTTGCTGAGGGTACCTCGGCGTAGCCGAGCAGGGGCGCAAGGCCCAGAAGCTGGGTCTCTTGCAAGACCCCCCCCCACCTGACCCTAGACCCCTAAACCCCTAAACCCCTAAACCCCTAAACCCCTAAACCCCTAAACCCCTAAACCCCTAAACCCCTAAACCCCTAAACCCCCCGCCCCCACTACAAGGAAGGCTTTCTGAGCGCTGGTCCCTCCATGGGCTCACAAGTTTCCCTTCAAGCCCTAAAAATTCCTAAGATCCAGAATTAGGAGTTTAGGGGTTTGGGGGTTTAGTGTTTAGGTCCCCCTTTCTTCAGCACTTTCAGGTGTTGGGTTTTGGGGGCTTCCAAGCGTGTTTTAGTTTAGGCGCCTAGGGCGATTGCGAACAGCCTAGTTGACGCCTCATGTCGAAATGCCTCTGGGCCTGCAAGCTCGTAAGATCTGTAAGCCTGTAAGCATCGCGGAGCAGTTCCAATTCATTCCCTTCAGGCGCTGAGGCACAATGGGGGGGGGACCTCACCGCCCAGATCGCTGTTGATCTCCACGTAAAGCCAGTGTGTGTACGTGTGCATCTGAGTCCGATCCTTGGCACGGGTCGCCGCCAGTCCAAGGGACTTGAAAAGCGCCGGATCCGACACGATCGGCGCCGTCGTGTGATCCGGATCCCACGTCGCCCCGGAGAGCTCCCGCGAGGCCAGCGGGGGAAACTCGTAGTAAGTTCGGAAAAGCTTGGGCAGAAAGTTGGCGTGTTTCAGGTGGTACTCCCAGGTCACGCTGTACTTGGCTTTGGAAAAGTTGTCGACGACCGTGCCCCGCCACAAAGACTGTCTCTCGATCTCGCAGACTTTCTTCAGGGAGTAGTTGTCCCCTTTGTTGTAGGGGTAATTGTCGTCGAAGATGAAGCGCGTGAAGCCCTGCGACATCAGCTCCAGAATGCGTCTGTAGCCGCTCTGATGGTCATCAATGAACATGATGGTCTCCGCGGGGTCAACACCCTCGGATTTCCAATCGATCTTGGCAACGTCTCTGAAGCTGCCTTTCAGCTTGTACTCCACCCCATCCAGCCTCCTGTATGGTTCAACCTCCGGATCGAGTGAGATGATGCGAGCATCAGGCAGCGCCTGCTTGATGATCCACGTTCCGTGGCCACGGAAGGCACCGCTTTCGATCACCACTTTGGGGCGGAGCTTGCGCAGCGTGAAGAACATGGCAAAGGAGTGGTCAACCTGCATGCCACCCAGGTTGTTCTGAATGGGACGCTTGTCATACAGCTCCAAGAAACAGGGGAGGGCAGCGCGCATCTCCGAATAGCAGGCCCATTCCGGGCGCCGCAGCTCACCTAAACTATCCTAAACTGATGGCAGATCACGCGCAGTCGCGCATGTCCACAGCACCCCCAAGCTTAAGCTTGAAACCCGAACGCTACACCCTGAGGCAAGTGAGTGAAAGATCCCTATTGGAGGTTCATGGGCACTTATAACCCCAGCTACAGGTCCACTTCGAACCTACTTAGAGGCCTTCAAGGCCTTAAAAACAAGTTCAGTGAGAAAGTGGGGGAATTGGGGTCATAGAAGTACCCTGAACCCCCAAAGAGGGCTATAATAATTACTTATTAATTGATTATTAACAATTAATAAACTATTAATTAATTATTATATCATTATTAAATAATTATTAATTATTATTTAAAATGGGTCGCCTTGGAGAGCCTGGCAGTCGCCCCCGTCGGGGGCCGAATGCGGCTGAGAGCAGGTCTGGCCAGAGGCGACCACGCCGGAGCAGGCCTCCGAAAACTCAGGAGCAGGCGCTTCCTGCTGGGGAGGGTACCTCGGCTGCAAGAGTCAGGAGAGGTTTATGGGGTTTCGATGGGATTCTCCGGGTGTTGGGGGTCAAGGTCTGGGTTGGCAAGGCCCCAAAACCCCTGAACCCCTGAACCCCTAAACCCTAAACCCCAAACCCCCCCCACCCCTACAAGGAAGGCTTTCTGGGCGCTGGTCCCTCCAAGCCTGAATCCCTCTGCTGCGCCTCATGGGCTCTCACAAGTTTCCCTTTTAAGACATTCCTAAAATCTATAGGAGTTTGAGGGTTTAGGGGTTTAGGCTTTAGGTCCCATTGTTTTTTCAGCACTTTCAGGCGTTTTGGGCTTTGGGGGCTTCCAAGCGTGTTTTGGTTTAGTCGCCTAGGGCGGTTGCGAACAGCCTAGTTGACATTTCGACACGCCTCTGGGCTGCGTCCCTCTGCACCCTTTGCAAAGCCTCTACCCCACGATACGTCTCCACAAGCCGTCACTCCCATAAGAATGTAAGATCTGCAAGCCTGAAAGCATCGCGGAGCAGTTCCAATTCACTCCCTTCAGGCGCTGAGGCACAAGGGAGGGGGGACCTCACCGCCCAGATCGCTGTTGATCTCCACGTAAAGCCAGTGTGTGTACGTGTGCATCTGAGTCCGATCCTTGGCACGGGTCGCCGCCAGTCCAAGGGACTTGAAAAGCGCCGGATCCGACACGATCGGCGCCGTCGTGTGATCCGGATCCCACGTCGCCCCGGAGAGCTCCCGCGAGGCCAGTGGGGGAAACTCGTAGTAAGTTCGGAAAAGCTTGGGCAGAAAGTTGGCATGCTTCAGGTGGTACTCCCAGGTCACGCTGTACTTGGCTTTGGAAAAGTTGTCGACGACCGTGCCCCGCCACAAAGACTGTCTCTCGATCTCGCAGACTTTCTTCAGGGAGTAGTTGTCCCCTTTGTTGTAGGGGTAATTGTCGTCGAAGATGAAGCGCGTGAAGCCCTGCGACATCAGCTCCAGAATGCGTCTGTAGCCGCTCTGATGGTCATCAATGAACATGATGGTCTCCGCGGGGTCCACACCCTCGGATTTCCAATCGATCTTGGCAACGTCTCTGAAGCTGCCTTTCAGCTTGTACTCCACCCCATCCAGCCTCCTGTATGGTTCAACCTCCGGATCTAGTGAGATGATGCGAGCATCAGGCAGCGCCTGCTTGATGATCCACGTTCCGTGGCCACGGAAGGCACCGCTTTCGATCACCACTTTGGGGCGGAGCTTGCGCAGCGTGAAGAACATGGCAAAGGAGTGGTCCACCTGCATGCCACCCAGGTTGTTCTGAATGGGACGCTTGTCATACAGCTCCAAGAAACAGGGGAGGGCAGCACGCATCTCCGAATAGCAGGCCCACCCCGGGCGCCGCAGCTCACCTGGGCTGATGAGTTCAGGTAGCAGACTCCAGTCGCCATAAACCCTAAACCCTACTGCAAACCATAGATGGACACGGACAGACGGACCCTTGAGCACCCCATGGGTGCGAAAAAGGCACCCCCAAGAGCCTGGCAGTCGCCGCCGTCGGCGGCCGCGTGCGGCTCAGAACAGGTGCCGAGGGAAGAAAAGGAAGGGGCCATGCTGTTGGAGCAGACCTCTTCACGACGCGGCCTCGGCTGGGACTTTTTGATGGACTTCGCGCGACTTCTGAAAGAGAGGGCAAGCAAGAACCCGCAATTATACTTAGGAACCTCATGGAGCAGAGTCTTTAGAACCTACTTTCCGCATCCCCCATCCCACTTTCTGAAACTTATGTCGCACTTGTCGCTACTCGGGAATACGCAAGTGTGCCAGACCTCATGAGGGCTATCCGCGCTGGTCTAGGATCTGGAGATCTGCATAATGGTTTCCTCTACGATCCGTGATGAGGCTCCGGAGTTTCGGTCTTCGACGCCCACGGTCGCGCCTGCCCCGGAGTTGTTCCCATTTCCATTTTTGTTGGCATGTTGATTCGCTACTCTCAGAGAGAAGAAGATACTTCAAGGGATGAACCTCTGGCTACAGCAAGGAACAGTGTACTGGACTCTTGCCCACGATTCCTACGTCGACTCTCGAAACAGTGATGCTTCCAAATGCGACTGTCAGACTGTCAAACTGTGCAACAAAACCAGCCCCCAACCAGCAATCGGAGGACACAGAGGCAAACAGAAATCGCAAAACATCTACGAATCGGCGCAAAGCCTGTAGAGAATCTGCACAATCTAGTCTAGTCTCATTTGGAATCATAGCAACACAATCAAAGTCCTCGCGATGCTGGCTTTGTACTTTGTTCGGCTCCCGTTCATTTCAAGGCACAACTTGTCTTCCGATGAAGGTTGGTGTCCATGCTTCACCACATGTACTCTGAGGCTTAGGTTTACTTCGTTGGGGCAGAATGAGGGTCTACGGCTATCCCAACATGAGTCCTCACTTTGACATTTAGGGTTTAGGGTTTAGGGTTTAGGGTTTAGGGTTTAGGGTTTAGGGTATCACCCCAATCTGACGGCATCTCTTGCCGCAAGGTGCAGGGGGCCGCTACCGGACTTCGGACCGGCCGGAGCTGCATGCAAGAAGGTCTCCTGGCCGTCTGGGAAGAGCGCCTTCCCATGCCTAGTTCATGGTTGGGACAATATTCGGGTTTAGGGTTTAGGGTTTAGGGTTTAGGGTTTAGGGTTTAGGGTTTAGGGTTTAGGGTTTAATTCTTAAATGTATATTCCTTATTGGGTTTAAGCACTCTTAAAGATTGTAAAATGTTACCCAACGATGACAAAGATGCTCCTTCACGGTGCCGGGCACTCCGGACATGGCGGCCAAGGAAGCCACACCCAACATGGCGACCACGACATACTTGAGGGCTGAGGGCCTTGGCTGATGCATTGCTTGAATCAGCAAGCTCCCGTTTCTTCCAATAAAGTAATAAAGCTGAACTTTAGTTTGATAAACGCGATAAAAGCATGAAGAAAAGAGGCTATCACACACACACACACAGACACACACACACACACACATATATGTATATATATATATATATATACATGTATATAATACCCCCCTCCCCCCACTCCCCGCGCATACAGTAGACTCTGCTGCAAATGGTAGTTTTGCGTCGCAGCAACGAACACACGCCAGAAGAGTTCTACTTAATGCTGCCATACACACGGGCGAAAGCGAGGCCAGTGTGCCTTTACTACGTTGAACAGACTAAGTCACTAACTACATTACCATCATGTTTGTCATTAAACGATGCTTTCAACCACCTCAAATTAGTCACTGTGCACGCAATGAACCATTAGTTTGATTAACTAACCTTTCCAACTTAGTACACCAATCAAAAACTCTTATTAGAAAACCTGCTGAATTTGAGCATTGGTTAAACGAGCTCACATATGTTCATTGTTTAGCATACAAATAGAGTACTTAATCTAACCAAAGTTTGCTTGTTTCTTGAAAATCCTTAATTCACGCAATTTTCAGTAGTTCGAGTAGTTTTCTGAAGGGTTAAGTAAATGAGTTACATAGACCATTAACCAACTGAATGAATACAATGAACCAAACTGATTAAGATGAAAAGTACTCAATTGAATTACGGTGTTCTGCTTGTTGGAATTAGCTTAATCAAAGTACCTCGGATGCGTGCATTACTGCACTGAAGGGTGAAGTAAACGAATGAAATTTCTAGACCCTTTGCTACATGAATTCGATGAGTTGAAGTCAACAAAACACGATTAGCTGCATTGCTGTGAATGGGATAAGTACATAGGCCTTCCCAAGACTGAACAACTTAATGTATTTTCAAAAAAGTAAGGGTTGACGTTACAGCCTCAGACATCCTCATCTGGGATTCCTTCCTTTGAAGAACTGCTTCTAGATAAGAAGCCCACACCCTAGGAAAAGAATTCTATACTCAAAAGCCACACCCTATGAAATCCTCTTCTGGGGCCTCTCAATGACATGTCAATAGACTTGTGTATGATAAAGCCACAGCTTCGTTCGTAATTAAACCCAAGCAAAACAAAAAAATTAAGAGGCCCCGCCCCAAGACATCCTCTTCTAAGCCTCGTTGATTAGTACCAATTTGGAGTTTTTGTGTTTCCCACACCCTGTGAAATCCTCTTCTTGCTCCATTTGTAGTGAAACGTATTTTGATTTCGTATTGTAAACCCACACCCTAAGAAATCCTCTTTTGGGCTTCGTTCGTAATTAAAACCAAGTAAAGCAAGTGTATATTAAGAGGCCAACCCCAAGACATCCGCAACGAAACCGAGTTATAAGTTTATATTGCATACCGCACCCTGTGAAATCCCTTTCTGACCCCTATTTGTAATGAAGATTAATTAGACGTCTGTCTTATAAAGCCACACCCCAAGAAATCCTCATTAGACCTTCGTTTGTAGTTAGACCTATTTTCGATTTGCCTGGATGCTCGTATTACAAAAGCCACACCATTCTGGGGCCTGGTCGTAGCAGAATCTCATAAGAAGTTTATAATTCTAGGTAAGAAGCCCACACCCTAAGAAGTTCTGATCTAGGCTAGGTTCCTATGTAACTGTTGGACAGAACTTTATATCATCTTCTGCGCCCCCATTCGTATTGTAATGTACTCACAATTCCATATTTAACGGCCACCCCCTATGAAATCCTCTTCTGGGGCCTCTTAATGAAATGTCAATAGACTTGTGTATGATAAAGCCACAGCTTCGTTCGTAAAAACAAACCAACTGAAACAAAAAACACCATAAGAGGCCAGGCGCTTCTAAGCCTCATTCGCTATTACCTCTTTGGAATTCTATTTTACCGACCACACCCTGTGAAATTCTCCTCTGGCCCCGCTTCGTTATGAAATGTAATTTGAGGTTTGCACTAAAGCACCACACCAAAGAAATCCTCACCTGGACTTCGTTTGTAATTCCACTTAAATAGACTTTTAGATCAAGAGGCCACGCGCCAAGACATCCTCTTCTAAGCCCTACTCATATTTAAGTCACAGTCAAATTAGACTTTTGAATTGCAGGTCCACATCCTCAGAAACACACCCTGAGAAACCCTCTCTTGAACTTAACTTCTTTTCATATTACTTTTTATACTAAGATGCCACATCCCAAGACATCCTCTTCTAAGCCTCATTCGTAATTAAATCTAGTGGAACTTCACATGTTAACGCCACGCCCTACATACCGAATAGGCTGAATGTAAATTAAAACGAAATGGTGGGTGTGTTTGTGTGTGCTTTCTCTGTGTGTGTGTGCAAGGCAGTCACATTAGAAGAAACAACTTAGAACAATACACATTCTTTGTACAACAAAAGCATTGTTTGGCAAAAACAAATCCAAACATCCAAAAACTCACACCATGGAGGCCGCCGTTTTTAGATTTTTTGTTTTCTCGAGTTTTTTTTGGTTTTCTTTGGAAAATCCAAAAAAAAAACATGTGTCTTTTTGGATTCTACTCTCTGCGAGGTTGAACATCCAAAAAAAACGAGGGGTTTTTTGGATTTTGAAGAAAATCCAAAAAAAAACATGTGTTTTTTTTGGTTTCTGAGGCCAGCACCTGAAATCCAAAAAACACGAGGGTTTTTTTGGGGTTTTGCGTGAAAATCCAAAAAAAACCCTGTGCTTTTTTGGTTCTTGAGGCCAGGAGCAAGTAAAATCCAAAAAACACATGTTTTTTTTGGATTTTTCCAAAGAAAACCACAAAAAAAACTCGAGAAAACCAAAAAAAACAAAAAAGGCTGCCTCCCGGCTCCATGGTTTTGAGTCTTTGGGTTTTTGGGGTTTGTTTTAGCAACTTTTGCCAAAAAAAAGGGGGAAAAAAAAAAAAAGACCTTGCTGGGCAGCCCAAGTCGCCCACCCCCGGAGGCCAGCGGCTCGCTTCCTTGGCCGCCTGGCTCGGGCTCCCCTGCGGCCTGGCGCGGCCTCCGCTCCATCGGCCGCGGGTGTAGGGCTTTTAGGGTTCTTAGGGCTTTTATAGTGGCTGTTAGGGTTTTTTATAGTGGTTTTAAGGGTTTTTGGGGTTTTAAGGTTTAGGGTTTGGGATTTCTAGGGTTTAGAGTTGAGGGTTTAGGGTTTAGGGTTAGGGTTTAGGGTTTAAGGTTAGGGCAAGACGGATACTTTAGGGTTTTTCAGATCTAGATGGTTTAGGGTTCTAAGGTTTAGAGGGCGTAGGGTTGAGGGTTTGAGGGTGATCATGGCACGGGACAGACCATGCTGGAGCCTATAGGACAAGCATAAGCGCGCAACATCCTCAAGGCCATGCTCCAACCCGTAAGTTCCCATGGATCTCCTTTAACCGCAAGAGCATGAAACCTTTAGGGTTTAGGGCTTAGGGTTTAGGGTTTAGGATTTAGGGTTTGGGTTTTAAGGCTCTAGGGTCTAGGGTTTAGGGTTTAGGGTCCAACCCAAAGGCCCAACTGAGCTCTACTAATACATACTACTGCACATGTTTACCCGGCTGTCAAGCGACAATGAGCTTCCGTTCTCTACTTTGGTGGAAGCGTGTCACATGAGGCTACACCATAAAGGGAAAGCATGTGCATGGCCAAAAAGAGTGTGCACGCCACTTTCTGCGTTCGCCCAGAATCATCAAGTTCCCGCGTCCTGCTTGGAGCCAAATGGGGTTCTGTTGATTGTGGCCGTGGGCAAAGCAATCGGGAAATGCAGAAGAGCTTTGCGAGCTGAGGCAACAGACTGGGTGAAGCAAAGGAAGGCAAGGCTGAAACAGCCTGTGTTTTGCAAGAGAGCTGGTTGGGCAGAAATCGAACCGAGCGCCTGCGCAAGGACTCATGCAGGCTCAGGTATGTGCGCGCTGCACTACTGCCCATGTTTACCCGGCTGTCAAGCAACAAGTGCCCACCGCTCCCCAGCAACCACCAACAAGCCCGAGCATCCCAGCACTGCGAGTGCACGGTCTGTTTTACACTTTTGGACGTAAGGTCGCTCCTCTTGCTAGAGGCGTCTCATTTCGGACCCCTGAAATCAAGAGGGCAGGACAAGATCCCAGGTGTGGGTGGGTGGGAAAGAAAGAAGGAAAGCCAGTCACTCGACCCAAAATGGTTACGGACAAGTGACGGCTCACAGCATACCCTCCTACCACGCTAGCACTTGTTACATCCACAACTTGCAGGCACATGTGTTTTGCAACAAGTGCCCACCGCTCCCCAGCAACCACCAACAAGCCCGAGCATCCCAGCACGGCGAGTGCACGGTCTGTTTTACACTTTTGGACGTAAGGTCGCTCCTCTTGCTAGAGGCATCTCATTTCGGACCCCTGAAATCAAGAGGGCAGGACAAGATCCCACCTGACCTTACCCAAAACAGACGCCAGTGCACCTTTACCCACCTGCTGACGGCGCGTCGGAGGGTGATGTGGAGGAGTCCGTGGAGGAGGACGAGGAAGATGAGCTGGGTTCGCGAGTTTGACTCGGGAAGCAGCGCTTGCATCTCTTGCCTTCGTGGTCCAATGGAACCCACGAGAAGGATGAGCAATCTCTTGCGAAGGGCCAAGCGCAGCTGGTTCGCCAATGCTTCGGGCGCAGCGCCATGCGTGGGTCGGACAAGTCTGTCACGCAACGATGCAACTTGCCCCCAGGAGATTGAGCACCAGGCGTGCTGAAAAGTCACGCGGCGGGGCTGCACCGGCGGGGATCGGAGCCCCAGTCTGGGATGAAGAGCCCTCGCAATCTTGTAGCCAGTCCGGATCGGGCACGGCAATCTGCTGGACGTTCAAGAAGGCTTGTCCCTTCGCAATGAGCTCTTCGAGCTCTTTTCGTGCTCGCGCTAGGCTGTCGGTGTGGCCTGCTTCGACTGCCAGCTGCCCAAGCTGCTCAACTGGCGCTTCTCGCAGGTAGCGGAGTACAAGCTGAGCCCCATCGCCCAAATATTTGGGTTCTCCAAAGTTCGATTCCTTTGATTGCCATAACTGTGCGCCGGTGGCTCGGGCTGAGTGGCCGGTGAAGGCTCGAGCACCGTTCCGAAAGGTGACCGGTAGGCTCAGAGCGGCGGCCAATGACTGAAACGTGTTAGCCCACCCGGCTTTGCTGGGGGGAGTAACCACGTCACAGTCTTGTTGACATGATCAAATGTCAGGTGCTCAATCTTAGCCCTGGAGGCCTCGAGTTCGCGGAGCATCCACCATGACGAGATGATCGTGGACCGGGCTGGGGACGTCGGACCTGAAGTAGCCATCGGCTCAGAAGAGCTGAAACCGGCTAATCTTCCCATTGGTAGGGCGGAGGCCCAAGCCCTCTCACACAGCTCCGCTTTGCGGCTCGGTATGTTTGTTGTAACTTTTCTGTCCACGGATGCCCCAGCCCGATGTGTTCTTGCTTCGCCACTTCCATGTGCTGGACGGCTGAGCGATAACCTCCGAGCTTGAGGGCCGCCATCACTGTCCTGATACGCGCGGGCGTCAGCTGGAAATGGTCTGGGTAGCCCGCTTTGTCGCTAAGCTGAACCCAAAGCCTCTTTCTGGACTCGGTGGGCGCAGCAGAGGTTGACGCCATAACTTCGGCTAGTAGCGCATTCCTGCATGATTCGGGGTCGCTTGCTGCCGCGAGGGCTTGCTGCGCGTTTCCCCTACCATACGGGCGCGGTTCACCTCGTCTATCACGATGGATCGCTGGACCCCCGACGGCACCCCCCGCAGGCCGCCCCGGGATAGCGGGTCCTTCGTGGAGGATGGTGCAACGGGGACGCACGGAGCGCCCCCCATCTCCTACATTACTACTTGGCCAAAACCGGCCCAGAGTTCGTTTGGGCCGCGGCGCGAAGCGTCTAAAGCACAAACCTCAACATGAAAGATGAGAGAGAAAGGGTGAGGGAGAGAGAGGGAAAAGCAAGAGCAAGTCGCGAAAGTGCAACCGAGCACGATCATTTCACACCTTCCAAAAAACCGTCGTTGAGATCTAGGCTCACCAGTTTCACCCCTTCGAGAACTTTCGGCATTTCGGGGGGCTTTGGTGAGAACTTCCGGGACAGGGCATCTGCCTGCACATTGGTGATGCCAGGAATGTGCGTTAGTCCCGCGACCTTGTAGCATCTGAGCGCTTGGTCTAAGGCAAATTCCCGGGCCAGCACGTTGAGTTGCGCAGATTTCGCAATTCCCTTGGCCAGGGCCATAAAGAAACCCCAAGTTGTCAGACTTGGCCCTGAAGGTCGCTCCGAAGGCTATGGAGGGCAGCCACAGGCGGAACGCGACTAACAAGGCTTGCCTTGGGCCCAGGGCATGCGGAGGCCTGATGCGCTCCCAAGCACAAATTGCACTGATGGGATCTCTTGCGGTCGCATTTGCTCTGGGCCGCGGGCTTGCCGCACTTGCCTCTGTTCCAATCTCGGCAGATTTCTACCCCCTTTCTGTTGTGGGTGTAGATATCTCCGTCCTTCTTTGAGAGGTCGTCGCCTTCATAGCGTCTCTTTGCTCGGGTGGCCTTCTGCTTCTTGAGAGGAGGTCCTTCTTGATGTGAGCCATCTCCACCACTTGAACGTGAGGTTCCCGACCTGTTCTGTGACAACCACAAGGTGGCTGGGGTGACGAGCTCTTTGGTCCAGAAGTCCTGCTCCTTGGTTGCTGCCGCGAAGGCTGCGTTCCACGGGCGGGCCGCGGTGTACCGTGTACCCATGCGCCGGGGCTTCAGCAAGTTGGCGGCGGATGCGTTCGAGAGGCTCCGACCTCATTCTGGTGTCAGCACGGTACACGATCCACCAGGCCTCGTCCGACTGATGTGCTCCGAGTAGGCGTCAAGCCTCTCTGCGTTCTGCGTCCACCGCATCGAGCAAGAGGAGAGCTGTCCGGACATACCAAAGCAGAAACGCGCCAGTCTTCTGAATAAAAGATCTAGAGCTTCTTTCTTTCCAACTCCTCGCAAAAGGAACGTGCCTCCTCGGGAGAAAGCATTTTACATGCATTACAAACCTAGTCATTCCTTGTTTTTGACCATCTGGCCAAGCCTGCCAAAGCATGGCAGGTCGCCCGATAAACATCCGTCTTCTGCTCCGTAATATACTTGTCTTGGAGGTAACTGCGAAAAATGTCCTCCAACTGTGTTCTTTCCACTAAGGCTAGCCTGATCGTAGTTTGCGCTGCTGCCTGCCGAGGAGAACGTGAGCGCGAGCGATGGGGTTGTCTCGACGAAGATGACGCCGTGACTCCTAGCTGCAAAGCAAGGGGCTGGCCCCTGCTACACCTGAAAATGCTGGGGGCGCAGACAGGGAAAACCCCAGCGGAAGGGAGATGTCACAAAGGTAAAGGTCAACCCCTGTCACCCTGTCTAGAGAAAAAGCAGAAGTCTGTAAAACTCCAGCATGTCTGTTAATGCTCGCTACCTTTCACTGCAAACCGCCGCGGGCCCAGCAAGGGTGGAAAAATGCAGGGGGGCCCCGAGACCTCCTCGTAAAGCATGCCCCCTGCCAAGCTCAAGGCCTGCGTAGGAAGAAGCACAATGCCCACAATTTACAGCATTCACCATACTGCAGCTCCCAAACGTTCGACACGTGCCACCGATGGATAAACATTTACACAGCCCAAACCAACAGTGATAAGTACCAGCCGATGGAAGCTTAAATGTAACTCGTGAAGGCAGCCAAGCAAACGCTGTTACTGAACGTAACTGTAAAAGCTCATCGTGGCGAGCGCAAGCGAAAAGGCCCCCAGTAAGCAAAACGCATGCAGACACAATGTGTCCTCTGAAAAGCAGCAATGAAATGGACATGAGCATGCGCAGGCCAAGCAACTCACTCCGGAGCTGTAAACTCATTCACGAAGCTGCATAGCAACGCTTGAAAATGTGCCAAATCTGTAAGAAAGTCAGTCCTGCTACAAGCCGACATTAGCCAACCCAGCAAAGAACAATCCTCAGCTGAGCCTGCGACAGCAGTAAAGCGAACGTCCGTCACGCAACGGCAAATTTCAAAGCTTGGCAACAAGCCGGATGCCCAAGTAACACCCCGAAAATTACAAAAACAAATCCATCTGGCCCCGAAACGCCAGGAGCGAATCTTTCATGGCGCTGCCTGAAAAGCATTCAAGACAAGGCGGGGCAGGTGGCTGACAACCCCATGTAAGTCACTGTGTCCTTTAAGAAACCAGCAACTTGAAGATATTACAAACAAATGGGTTCCCGTGCAAATTTGCCCGAAGGCTCAAGCAGCGAAACGGATCCTTAAGATCTGGCAAAATGAAACTCGCTAGAACCCTTGAGCCCAGCCTAGAACCTCACGCACTAGTCCCGAAGCTGTCACTCGGTAACCGAATCATCGGGATGTAGCCAAGAACGCAAATCTGCAAGACGATGAAGCCAGTGCCAATTAGCTTGGCTCCCAATTTGCCAGTGAAAGAAGGCCATACAAGGGCACTGCCGAAAAAGGCGAGTCACCGAACTCACCGATCTGCCAAGGTAAACGAAATGCTGGAAAATCAACTGCCCATTTGCCGAAGACCGTAGGTGAACAATCCAAGCCTCGACAAAGAGCCCGGCCGATTTGGAATTGTTGTACATTCCCACGAAAGCATCGCAAAACAGCGTGGCACAGAATGCCAGACACCAGTTCCCAATCCGCAACTCAGGAGCAGCGTGAAACGAATCATGGTCCTGTTTGAAATAACCCGCTTTGAAATGAGCAACAAGGCTCCTGTCTGCACCATGGGCCACCAGCCACTGTACCTCCTGGGTGATGGTATCCAGCGAAGCAGCTGCCTGGCTCGCTATGAGAGGCAAAACAATGCGATCCATGGGTGTTAAAGAAGCCATGTCCAGTCCAAAAAGCATTCCTTCCAGCGGCAAAGATCGGCAGAGGCCGAGTTGTTGCGGAAAAGCAACAACATTTCTGTCACCTACCATCGTCGTACCCATGGAGGTAGGTTCTGTGGCAAGAGTAGGACCAGGCGGTGCAGCCACGGTTGTAGAGCTGCCCAGCGTGGGTTCGTGGCACCTCAATCGAAACGAAGCCGCAGTTGCTTCGATAATTGCCAAACGCACACTCTGTGGCAGACTCGCTGCTGCACGGGTAAAATCCTCTGTGCCATTTGCTGCCACATCCCCAATGAAATCGAGAACAAAGAGAAAAGGAAAAGCAGCCAGAATAGCCTTGATCTGCTCCGCGTCGAGTCTCTCCATGGCCACAAAAGCAAAATAGGCAGTTAGCTAAGGAGCCCCAATTGGCCTTAATGAAGTATGCGTGCACACTGAGCAAACGGCTCCAGCTCTCGCAAACATGACAGATGAAAGCGCATGAGAATACATCGCAAAGGCTTTACCACTCAGGAGCAAAACAACTCCCAAGATCCAAAGCGCGATGCAAAGCCAAAAACTCTAGGATGCGGAAGAAAACTTGCAATGCAAAGCAACTAGATCGCTCTAAAGCCGCATTCGAACGCAAGCCGAGGAGGAACAATCCTAAGCAAATGCTACCAGCTGCAGACCACAATGCAATTGGTCTGAAGAGATGTCAGTAGTGTACTCCTTGATGCCGAGCAAACCACTTGGTTCTGTCAACGTATTAAAGCCGATACCCAAGAAAGCAGCGCCACACGCTGCGTGTGTGCTATCTCAGGGAAAACTTTACCCACAAGCCGGATCAGGCACACCAAAGCCTGGGGAGGAACAAAAATGAAGTGGACCCAACCGACAATCTCGAAACGGGCGCACGCTCGCAGAAGCGAAAGTACTACCATGCAACGGTTGACCAGGGAGACATTACATACGCACCCGAAAATGTAAGCAAGATTGACCTCAACATGAAAGGCATCACCAAACAGAGCATCTGGTGAAGGAAGCAAACCAAATTTTGCCAGGTAACACCGAAAGCCTCTCTATCGTCAGTCCCCCAGCACCCTCGCGTTCATCCTGTGCATCATGGTCGAGGATGGTTCCCCAACAGTAGCTGCTGCCAGGCTGCTTCAGAAACCCATGACCCAACCAAAAGGGCAAAGCGTATAAAAAGGTGAGATGTAAATCACAAGGGAGGGCGACAGCATAAGAGCATCTGCAAACATCGCCGCAATCGAGATCGCCCAAAAAGCTTGTCAAAACAAAAGCGAAAAGCGACCCCAAGGATCAGAAACACCGCCGCCCTTGGCTCAACAGAAGAGCCAAAAAAAGCCGAGCTCAGACTGTTGCAAGCAAAGCTAAGAGCCTGTAAGTTTCAGGGGAAAATGCATGTAGTCCAAACTGCATGAACGGCACACCATGTAAGCAAACATGGGAAAACATGTCTGATCTGCTTTGGAAGCCTAAGCAACCACTCTTCAAGATCCCAAAATCTGCAAAAAATGAAGGCCCTCAATTTAAAGAGGGAAGCAAGCAGCCGTCAGAAGACCGGCACAGCGAAGCGTTGAGCCTGCAAGACTCAGCTGGTGCAGTGTAGACTCGCAAGTCTACACAGCAAAAGCAAGCACCATGTAATCAATACATGGGAAGCAGCGGCCCAGAGGGCAGAGCGGGCAAACATGGTATAAATCAGCTGTTTCGGGCCCAAATGGGCAGCTAAAAGCAAGCACCATGTAATCAATACATGGGAAGCAGCGGCCCAGAGGGCAGAGCGGGTAAACATGGTATAAATCAGCATGTTTTGGGCCCAAATGGGCAGCTAGCAGCCAGCTTGGGAAGCCTAAGCAATTATTCTTATAGATCCCAAAATCTGGCAAAAATAAAGGCCCTCTACGCAAAGAGGGAAGCAGCCGTCAGAAGACCGGCACAGCGAAGCGTTGAGCCCGCAAGACTCAGCTGATGTAGACGCGAAAGTCTACACAGCGAAAGCAAGCACCATGTAATCAATACATGGGAAGCAGCGGCCCAGAGGGCAGAGCGGGTAAACATGGTATAAATCAGTAATGTTTTGGGCCCAAATGGGCAGCTAGCAGCAGCACAGCTGGCATAGACTTGCGAGTGCAAGCAGCACGCGAAGCGCCAGTAAGCAAAACCTGAAAAGCAAGCGGCCCAGAGGGCAAAGCGGGTAAACTGGTAAAAATCAGGAATGTTTTTGGGCCCAAATGGGCAGCTAGCAGCAGCACAGCTGGCATAGACTCGCAAGTCTGAGCAGCACGCGAAGACTAGGAAGCAATACCTGGAAAGCAAGCGGCCCAGAGGGCAGAGCGTGAAAAAATGGTAGAAAACTGTAATGAATTGGGCCCAAAAAGGCAGCTCGCAAATTGCACAGCTGGCGTAGACCAGCAAGACTACCAACTTGCCGAATAAAACACGTAAGCAAAAACATGGGAAAGAGCGGCCCAGAGGGCAGAGCGGGAAAATATGGTAAAAGCCAGCAATGTGAAAGCAGCCCAAGGGGCAGAGCAGAAGTCGCTGCTGAAAGATGAGTGGGGGCCTTGTCGCTGATCACTGTCTTACACAGACAGCGATGGCGACCGGAGGCAAGCGGTTGCGAGCAAAGCAGAAGGATTCGCCACTCAACGGCATTGAAGCACTGAGCCGCAACAAAACTAGCAAACAAAGATTGAAACATCAAATCTGAAAAATACAGATTTTGAAGAGGATCAGAACACAAGATAGAGCTTCTTACGCATTGTAACCCGGAACCGTAGTGACCCATAGTGACCCGTCGTGACCCGTAGTGACCCGTAGTGACCCGTCGCACCCGTAATGACCCACAGTGACCCGCAGTGAGTGACCAACAGTCTGATAAATAGTCTGACAACCTCATGAGAAGCGGTCCTCTCGATCAAGCCATGACGGAAGTCGTGATCTTGCAATCAATTAGTGACCAGCATCGCGACGAGCAGAGGGAATCACAAAAAGCACAAGTTCCGAAATCAAACCAAGTAAGCTTCCAAATCAAACCTGGCGACTTCTGCAATTAAACCACAACTGGGCGACTGCTCTGCTGCTTGCCTGCTGTCCCACCTCTGCCCACTCTGCACCACCACTCAGCTACTGCCAGTTCCTGCTCTGCCACAGCTGCCTGCAGTTCTTTCAGGTTTCAAGGGCTTTGAGCCAAGTTGAGCTGTTTGAATTGCTTGCTTGAGATGCCATGGTCTAAAGTGCGCGATTCGAATCAAGTTGGGGGGTAAACGTCGAGATGGTGAGCGGCGACGGTGTTCAGAAGTTTCCATCTCGGCGTCTCTGCTCCTGAAAGAGATTGCAGCGGTCGATTCGCAAGTCAGTGTAGCTGGAGAAAGCTAGAGGCATCAGCAATGGACGACGAAAGAGGAAAAATCTTGTACTCCAAACTTTGGACGCCTCTTTACAGCACAGTAGACCGTTTTTAGGGATCTCAACGCAAGAGTGAAACGGAGCAGGTGCGAAAACCAAAGCAAACACACACCAAAACAAACACAAAACACAACCACCAACCAGCAGCAACCCGAAAAACAGAGCACCTAAAGTCTACGTGTCCCCGCTCTGTACTCGAATTCATCGTTTGTAATCGAGCAGCGCAGAGCATACGGGGGGTCGCAAAATGCGAGGGTATGCCAGATCATCAAAACTCTCTACAGGACTTGCTGGTTCCATACTTCCGGTGGAACTCCAAAGCCAGGTCTCAACTGTTGCTTCAAGACGTCGCAGGCGATTTGGATTTGAGCATGATTTGATTTGCAACGTGACATGGAGCATGGAAAGTGTGTTGCGTGGAACGAATTCTGCCAGTTGGTCCGTAACTTCCTTTGGCTTGCTCGAGGTGGTCAAGCCACCAGGGATGCCGCAGGAGGGTGGAAGTCCGTAGCTAAATGTTTTGCTTTGCTTGGACCGCAAGCTTGGTTTATCCTTTAGTTTTTGCGCGGTGCACACTGACTGTTGGTACGCCCGCTCCCAACCTTTAAAAGTGACGTTAACTGAGCCCTTAGCTGTCCTGTCACTCCGAAACAATCCTCTAAGTGACATTGAGAGGACTTTCGGGAGCAAAGGGTGGCATTGTGCTGCCCACGGATCGCAGTCTTTTTGGAATGCCACCCTTGCCCAAGCTTGGACTTTTTTTTTTTGGACTGACGCCCCTTTACTACATCAGTAGCACAGTAGGCCGGTCTTGTTGGGCTCGACGTAACGGGTGAAACGAAGTCAGCGCGCGCAAACCACCAAAAACACCACACAACCACCCACGAAACAAAGAAACAGAAGCAACAAAGCGAGCAAAGGCGCTGAACTACTAGGTAACCCCACGCACTCAGTACTCGAAGTCGTCGTTGAAGTCCCGGGGCAATCATACAGCACAGAGCATGCGGGGAGTCGCAAAATGCGACACTGCCAGATTCTCAAAACCACCATCATGTAGCTACTGGTGCGACATCATTCGGCTCGAACCAAGGTCATCACTCGATAGTCAGGATCCCGTACTCGTCGTCAAGGACAGATAACAGACCCGCATTGGCAAAGGGATTGTACAGGTCAGACTCCCCAAAGGAGAGGAAAGACGTGCGTATGCCCCGAACAATCAAGGCAAGACCGGCCCAGGGCACTCCATGGTGGTCAGCCAATGGAGAAGCCCCGAGCGAAAGGTCCTCCTCTCACCCTGGCTTGCAGCTGCGCCCACCAAGATAGATGTCCGCGCACAAGCACAGTTTCATCAGACAGCCAAAGGGGAGGCCACACACGCAAGCCCGAAAGCTCGCCGGGGTCTTGGAGACTGCAATCTGGTAGGCAATGGTCCCTCAAGGTACGTCGGCAAGGAGATGAGGGCTCACATCACTTTGGCAGCCTGCAAGAGCGCTAAGATCTACAGCTTTCGTCCAGGCGACGCCGTCAGGTAGCATCCAGGCGGGCGGAGATCCTGCCTGTCCTGCCACAGGCCAAGCACAGCGATGATGGCCCTCTTGAAGGCCAGATTACTCCACAAGTGTTCGATGGCTCCTGGCCAGGGCAGTAGGTGCATATTCTCCACGTAGAAGTGCCCGCAACCTGGGAGAGGCAGCACCGCCGCATTGGCCTCTCCAGACCGTCAGGATCCCGTACCCGTCGTCCAGGACAGATAATAGACCCGCAGTGGCAAAGGGATGTGACAGGTCAGACTTGCCAAAGGGAAAGACGTGCTTATGCCCCATGGTGGTCAGCCAGTGGGGACTTAACAGCAAGAACTATCGAGGTAAGACCGGCCCAGGGCACTCCATGGTGGTTAGCCAGTGGAGCAGCCCCGGGCGAAAGGTCCTCCGCTCACCCTGGCTTGCAGC